ATTCACGGCTGTATTCTGCTACCAGGCTGTATCCTGGGAGTCTTGTGTTGGCCAGGGCTTCAGAGTTTAATCCGTGTTCAGTAAGAATCAATATGGTAGGCAGAATGGTTGATAGTGTGTGGCTTAATCTATAAACTTTATTGATCAACCCCCTTATGTTTTGATGCATTAGAGTTATTTTGGAATTTTTTCCACCAGCTTTAATTTTGTCGCCTTTTGAGCAGTTTGTGGCCTGTTCCTTTGTCTTAGGTTTTGTTACAGAAATGGACTGGTTATGTACGTTGTTATCCTGTTGTGGTATAATGTTGATAGAAGTTGAGTGGTTGTGGGATATTGAGGTTGGGGTTAATCGGTTTTCGGCAGAGTGGAGTTCCAGAAAATTCGTGTGTTTTGGATGACTGGTGTGTGCTTGTTTCTCCTCCATTTTCGATGTCCTGTTCCTAAAAAAGGGATCATAGCGTCTGACCTACATAGGTTTGTTCTTTGAGCGGAACTCATGTTAGAGGGCATGTTTGCCTCGAGAGTGTCTATAGTATCTATAGAGTCTAGGTCTTTATCCGTAAAATTTATGTTTCTTTCCAGAGTGAGAGTTGGTAGTCTTTGGTTTCTAGGTGAAGGTGGCTCTGGTTCAGTTCCATCTAGATACCTATGGATTTCTGGCTGGACTTTTATAATGTTTGGGCTTTGTTCTGGTGAAGACATTTGTGACTTGGTGAAGACAGAAGTTTTCTGTAGTGCATGGGACAGGGGGCTTGTAGGAACTTTGTTGTCTTCTGTATTTTTGTTGACATTCTTGAAAAAGTTATTGAACAATTCTTCAATGGTTTCCCCTTCTTCTAGTCTGTGGGCAGTGGTTGGGGTTGTTTACTGAAGATTGCCTTTGGCAGCATAGTCACTCCTACAGTTGGGCAAGTACCTGGATGTACATGACTTTCTCCTTGAGTTGGTGTAGCTGACTCTTTGATGTTGTTTTTGGAATTTTGGCCATGGAGTGGGTGTAATACTTTGTCTTCATTTTGTTTGTGTTTCTTATCTTTTGTGTAAGTGTATTCCACATGAGAAGTGTTTTTGCGGTATTTGGATGCTTGAAGGGAGACACTGAACACGCTCTGTTTTGTTCCAGTGCTTTTACCACTTTTAATTAATGGGCTATTCTGCGTCACAGTGATACATTTTGGAGTGGGTTTGTTTTCCATGCTCAAATTAGTTTCCAAAGCTTTGAACATCACCTCCATCTGGTTGAGCTTAATTTTTATTTCTGCCAGATCAATCAAAAGAAGAGCTAAACCAGCTACTTTTGTTGAACTATCATATATTGGGGGGGTGGTTTGTGTACTGGAGTTCTGGTAAGTCTTATTTGCTGCTTCGTGACCTTTAATTTTCTTTTTCAAGGTAAGAATGGTTTTCTCTTGTTCGGCTATTGTTTTTAGGTTGTTGTCAAAAAGTTGGCTTAGTTTAAGGTCATGCTCTTCAAAGATAGCTTGCGTTTCTTGACGGATTTGCTTCTCTTTGTTAAGCTGGTCCTGTGCTTCAGCACACTGCTGTAGTAAAGCTTCAATTTTGTCTTTCTCTCGTTGGTTTCCATTTCCTCCAATTTATCTTCCATTATTGTTAGCCTGGTTTCTAACTTAAACTTATTTTCCTTCAGGAAATTGTTTTCTTCTAGCAAGGCTGACCCTATTCTGGCAGCCATCTGCAGTTTGTGCTCTTCGTTGATTGGATCTTCTAAGAGATTACTTTTGATGATGCTGCTTTCAAGCTCTTTAATGGAGCAGTTGGAGGTGTCTAAACTGCCTATTAAATTGTTTCCAATTGGCTGGCTAAGTGGACAGGGGCTGAGATTGTCTGCTTTAAATTTTTTACATTGCCATTGCCATATTCCAATTTCATCAGAAGTCCATTTTTTCAATTTTTTTCTGGAATGCTCTGACATCCTGCGTGGTACCTACCATCTTTGGCATGGCCCATTGCATTTTATTCCAGAGAATTTGACACCAATTTCACATATGCCACAGGGATATTTTGAGGGCATTTTAGGAAACTGTTTCGGTAGATAGTGGTCTGATTGATAAAAATACTGTTTTTTATTAAAGCTTTGGCAAGCTGCTTAGGTCAGTAGATGGTGGTCTGATTTATAAAAATACTGTTTTTATTAAAGCTTTGGCAGGCTGCTTAGGTTATGATGAGCTGGATAATTTAATTGCTGTTAATACTTTAGTTGCAATTGGAAACATGTGCTACAAACATTACTGACTTGGTTGAAATGAAATATTTATTTACTATTTATTTAAATTTGGGTTTGCGTAAATATTACAATAAAAAAAAAAATAAAAAGCCTGGACAGTTTGATATGCTAAAAAGAAATCTGAATTAACACTGTGCTGCATTAATTTCTTGAGCAATCATTGAAAGAGCCGATTTGCAAACTATGGAAACACCAAGTAGAAGAAATAGAAATAATGATTTTTTTAAAGAATTTATAACAATTATTATGGACAACCTAATGTGGCCTAGTGTTCTTTATAATTCTAAACAATAAAGTGCAACTCACCATTGCTGTAAAAATTACACTTCAAAAGTTATTTCAACTTTTGTGATTTTCTCTATAAATGTCACAGGTAAACTCCCACCGCTTACCCAAGATAAAGGTTGTTGACAAGCTAATGGGAGAATGTATGTGTCAGATTTCTGATAACGTTTGTTGTTTAATAGGCTGGGGTAGCCTCCAGACTGAAGTAGTTAAAAGGTGAGGCTTTAGGAAGCAACTGTATCTGCAGTTTTGATTAACAGTTCATTCAATTTTCAAAACTTTAATCCATCTATATATTAATTACGTAAGCTGATTCTTTGCGTCAAAATTGTGGGCGACTGGGAAGTCGTAGAATGACGGGAGAGGGCTCAAATTAAAGGTCTCGATCCCGTGACGGCGGGAAAAATAGTAAAATTCCCAAAATCTAACTCAAAATTAGATATAACGTAAAATGTTCTCCATAAGAATAGCATTAGAAGGCATTTACTGCTGATTTTTGTTTACTTCAATACAGCTGATCGTGATTTATCATATTAAGCAAGTAAGCAATATTACATTTGGATTACTCATTTTCCAGTCAATTCTACGATGTAATGTATACTATATAAAACCAACTATATAAAGGGATAACGTTACCCATAATAATCAAGACTTCTTAGTTATGTCAAAGTTGAAATAAATTGTTTTCAAAATTAAAGAAACGATTCAAGATTAAATGAAGATCTTCTTTGTTTTGATTTCATATTTGATATATTTCATATTGATTTCATACGTATGTTAAAGATTTATTCGACACTTTTTTGTAAATTTACTAACATTTATATTTGAGATTTATTGTAGTGTTTAATCAATATTTTGTATGAAGTGGAATAACCTCAACGGTTACTCTAAGAAAACAATTTGGGAATAAAGATGAAGTAGGTTCGTACAGGTATTTGTTCATTAAGTACTTAAGTACTTTGTTGTTCCAAGCAAAAAAGGTTCAAATAATAAAGCCTAGCATGCATGGTAGCAAAGGGAGCACCTATATATAACAGTAGAACATAGAGGTAATTTCCGTTTCTTTAAACTAACCATAAATATTTATGTCGTGATTAGTTTCGATAACTGGGTAATGGAACCCTAACCAGTTGCAAAATAGTTAGTAATTAGACGTTGATCAGGCCCTTTTTGGTAGAATATGTAGATCAATCGCACTTTAGGAGGATTAGGCCTACTACCACATATACTTTTACTAGGCTAATAGTGGTTTTTTAAATGTTGATCAGAAACAAATGTAGGGTTAAGTTCTGTCAATGGGGCCTTTACTTAACACGTTCGCTGCTACGGACGTTCCGGAACGTCAGCCGGGCCACGGCGCCAGGAGCTAAGAACGTTCCAGAACGTCACCGTTCATTGTTGTTTAACGTTGCTATGGATAAGCTAGCACGTCACAAGCGTTCTATATTTCTTTGCAGCTCGTGGGGACGTACTTTTCTGACAATAAAAAATATAGTTTCCCAAATCACCACCAGGGTCGTTTGGAACAGGGCTTTGTTTTACCTCTTTCCTGCTAGATAGCGACACTACTTTAACGACTGTAACCTGGGTAGTGCTGCTATCTATCAGAATCACTTAGTACTATATCCAAAGCCAGTTTTATTGCAGAACATTGCCATCCAGTATAACTACTGTTGTTTTTATTGTAATTCAGTGTATCGGTGGCAATGTCACGCAGCGGCCGAGCGTTAGTTCAGCAACTGGCGCCGTCCCGGCATCTAGTGCTCAGCAGCGAATGTGTTAAGACTAATTTTGTTATTTTGTTAAACCTTTACAAAATGAGCATAGACTTAGAAATAATAACTGGGTAGGGTAGGGTTTGTAATTTAGCGGTTTTGAACTAGAACTAAGTTCATCTCAACACACAACTTTTTGACCTTTCTTATTTGACGAAGACAATTTCCAATACTGTATTTCAATCGGGGAAGCCTTTTTATCAGCATTAACAAAAACCAAAGCTACCTTAATAAACCAATATTTATTCATAAACATGTTTGCTGCCTTTAGCATTTAAACCTCTGGAATCATTCAAATTATTTATTGAAAATAACATAAACAAAAGCAAACAAAGCCAAACAACAAACTGTTTTTTTTTTTACACAAAAGATATGTTGTACTGGGATATCTATCCTGACACATAGATAGTTTGATTCTGAGTTTGTTTAAATATTACAATCATTTCTTTTCCATTTGATCTTTTTAGGGACTTATGTCCCTACAAGCCACTAGTTATTATTTAATTTGCCAGCTGATGGAAGTAAGGCAATGAGAATGAGAATATTTTGTAAGGTAACACATAGAGTATCTATAATCATATTCATTCCTGGGGTATTTTATAGCGTAATGTCTATATTCCAATTCATTTTCATGACACTGCTTTAATAAAACAGTAGTACTAATAAATAATGTAACTTGTTTTTGGTTCATCTAGGCCCGGCAGAAAAACCCATTAAGAAGTATGGAGTTTGATGGATTCAAAGACAGTGCAAGAAAGAAATAACATTTGAAAAGGAATTCCTTTGGAATGGATCACACTATTAATTAATCATTACTGAATACAGAAGTCATTTCATATTCTAGTGCATCTGTATATTTTGCTTGGCATTTTGAATTAAACCACTGTAAATATTTGATAAATTTGTTCAATACTTTAAAACCTCGATTTTCATCTTTAAAAAAGCGAAGCGAAGCAAAGCTCTTTGGGATCAACTTCAAAGCAAACTTTCTAACACTTACACTCAATAACGGCTTTGCATATTTTATTAAACTTATAAACATGTTGTTTTAACGTTTATACAAAAACAATTTCAATTTTTGATAATACCTATATAGTTTAAAAGTAACTAAAATTTTTGAAATTTTAACTTTGGCCTTTTGGGTTGCCATGCCATGATGGTTACGAAATGATGGCGTGAATGTAAACAAAACAAAGAATCATAGCATATGTTATTTTACTTTATTATTTTATTGAAAAGAGTAGTTATCTTATAAAATAAGTTATAGAATTTACTTAGTGTAAGTTTTTATCAGTATTTTACTTTTTCGTCGTTATAATGACTGAGTTATTAGGCCTATCATGTCGTGTTTCACTTCGTCGTGATAAAGATTGAGCTACGGTATCTTGTTTTACTATATTATTCAATTGAAAAGCTTTTGTATAATACGATGAGTCTTCAAAATAACTTGGTATTCGTGGATGAATGTGGAAAAGAGTTAGATGAAAGTGACATTATAAAACTTATAGGGGATTGTGACAGTGACAGTGATTGTGACTTGTTTGAGGAGAGTGGTTGGAGTGATGATGATGATTTGGAAGGGAGCAGAATTCAAGTGAGTAATAAGTCTAATACGCCTATTGATTATGAGACCACAGTTTCCCCAGACCATAATACTAATTGTGTTAGGCCTAATCCTTTAGAAAGTGACCATTTGTTGCTTGAACAGCCTTCTTGCAGCTATGCTAGGCCTATGACCCCTCCAGATGCCCTTACTGTCCAATATAATTCAGATTTGTCTAGTAGGCCTGAAATATTTGATCAGCATGTATCTTCTCCATCACGTGATGAAGAATTGCCTAAATCAGTCCAGTTTCTTGATCGGTTATACCGCGGTAGTATGAGCGCGCCTTCTCTCTCGCCTACACCGAGTGAGGAAGCTGACGACCCTGGTTTCCCTGACTCTAGGCCTATAAATGATATAGATAGTGGCAGGCATAGGCCTATGACCCCTCCAAATGTCCAATCTGATTTAGATTTGCCTATTAGGCCTGAATTATTTGACCAGCTTGCATCTTCAATCGTGCCTGCCCTCTCACCTACACCGAGTGAGGAAGCTGACGACCCTAGCTTTCCTGACCCTAGGCCTAAAAGTAAACCTGTTAGGGGCAGGTCTAGAGGAAGAGGTAGGCCTATAGGAAAAAAAGCTATTTCACAACCATCTAAGCCTACTAAAAGGTCCAAAACTCAAACTAGTAACGATACAGCTCCACCAAAAAAGAAGAAAAAGGAGGGTTGGCAGTGGACCAGTACCATAGAAAGTAATATAATAAATAAAATCCCTTTTACTGGTTGTCCTGGTGTTAGAGCAAGTTTGGCTAGAAGTTTAGGCTCAGCTCCCTCTGAATTAGATGTTTTCAATGCGTTTCTTGATAATGACTTTTGGCAACATGTTGCGACAGAGACTAATAATTATGCCAAAGAAACAATTAAGAAAAAGAACGAAGCAGGCGGGGTAGGAAAAACTATATACTCAGAATGGTTTGACACAACTGCAGATGAAATGGCTTGTTTTTATACACTGTGTGTCCTTATGTCGCTTGTAAAAAAAAGAACCATACAATCATACTGGTCGCCTAATGCTGTAACTGAGACCCCTTTTTTTCGTAAAGTGATGCCATTCCGCCGTTTTTTGCTACTGTCCACATTTTTCCACCTTACAGACAATAATAGGAAACCTGTGAATGATAAACTGTGGAAGTTAAGGTATGTTATTGAGTACATGAACAGGAAGTTTTCCCATCTGTACATACCTGATGAAAACATAGCTGTCGATGAGAGTCTTATGAAGTTCCGAGGGAGGTTGGGCTATGTTCAATTTAATCCTAAGAAGAGAGCCAGATTTGGCATAAAGTTTTACAAGTGTTGTGAATCTGGAAGTGGTTATTGTTCTAAATTTAAGATCTATACTGGAGCTGAAGTCAAAGAAAATGTACCGGTTGAAGAAGGAAGTGGGGATTCTACACAGGAGGAAAAGCTGTTAACGAGTGAGGCGATAGTCGTTGAAATGACAAAAGATTTGGCAGGAAAAGGACATACTCTGACAATAGATAATTGGTATTCCTCACCTCTTCTCTTCTATAGACTTAAGCAAATAGGTTTCAATGTAATTGGAACAGCTAACTGGTGGAGATCAAACATGCCAGAGAGCTTCAAAGAGGGTAAACTTAAGTTGGGCGACTACGAGACAGCCTATAGCCACAATATGTTAGCAGTAAGGTGGCAGGACAAGAAGCAAGTTTGCATTTTGTCTACCTTTCATCAAAAAGCTGACAAAAGATCAACTGGCAAGAAAGACAGAGTTACCCAAGAAATTATAACAAAGCCAGAACCAGTGATCTACTATAATCGTTCAATGGGTGGAATTGACCGCGAGGATCAGCAATTAGCGTCGTTTCCTAGTATGAGGAGGTATGCTAAGGGATACAAGAAGATCTTCTTTTACATAATGGACATTGGCCTTTTTAACTCTTATGTAGTGTTCAAAAAATTAACCAGAAAAAAATTGGGGTTTAGTGAGTTCAAGGAGAGGTTTGTCAAGCAAATGTTTGAGTCGCGACAACTGCCACCGTACAATCGAAGAGGACGATCATCCAACTCAGAAACACCTCTGAGGCTCCAGGCAGCAACTTGGGGACATTTTCCTAGGCCTATTCCTCCAAATGAAGTCAAACAAACACCTTCAAGAAGATGTAAGGTGTGTAGTGCCCAGGGAAAGCGCAGTGACAGCCGATGGGAGTGTGAGCTCTGCCTTGTCGCACTTCACATGCCAGAGTGTTTCAAGGCATACCACACCAAAATGAACTTTGCTTGACATTTGGTGAGTTTTTATAAGTGTCATACAGTATTATAGACTAGTTCCAAAACATATATGAGCCCTATGTAGCTAAAAATGACCAATAAAAAAGTTTTTTTAAATTTTTTTATTTTTTTATTTTATTTTTATATGGTATAACAAAAAATTATAGTTATATTTTTTGGGGAAATATTTATATATTTTGAATCTACATTTAATTTTGAATAAGAAAATAATAATATCTTGCATATAAATAGTAAATGTTGCCTGAAAAAAAATTAAATCAGAAATGAATGAAACTAGCCACAACAAATTCGTTTGTTTTGGCCTAGGCGGGTAAAAAAAAAATCATAAGTGAATGGGTTAATTTATTTTTAAATATTGTTTTGGAAGTCTCTGATTTAATTTAAATTGGGAGATTATTATAAAATTTTTATCCCGCATACATGGGTTTTTTCTCAAAAAGTTTTAGACTATGGTGGCCAATTGCAAGGTTTTCCCGATTTCTGGTGAAATAATTATGACTATCCCCAACTCGTTCCAAATCATGAAGTCTGTCCTTTACTGATAAAATTGTTTCATAAACGTACATTCCGTAAATTGTCATTATATTTTCCGATTTAAAATGTTCTTTATTAACAGAAGTTTCAAAATCTAAATTGCAGATAATTCTAATAAAGTTGTGCCGTCTAGATCCAAGGTCGCGTTTGTCGCTGGTGTAGGACGATTTTATTAATATCTTAATTCATAGCTCGGAAATTCACGTTCGGGCGAAAATTGTACGTGCATCAAATGATCGCAATTGTCAAAATTTCGCCAAACTGCAATTGGGGGTGTGATTTTATTAGTATTAAGTCGAGACAGTTGAGATGCCGGATTGATTGTTCGCGTTCGTGATGAAAATTAGTACATGCGTCATATCGATAGCAAATGTCAGTTTCTAGCGAATCGCGGGTCGTCGTGACGGTATTTGTAATTGAAACAATAAACGCCAGCTCGAAAAACAAGAATTAATAAGTCCTACACCAGAAAAAACCGTGTCGTGAAATTTCGCTCGGTCAGACAAAATCACAAAGTACTACGAGTCAGTTTTTAAATGTTGCGTCCGTGTGAATCTTTCGTCAGTGTGAATGTAAATGTGTCGACATGTGTGCGTAAGTAAATGTTTAATGTTATTTGTGTTTTAGTATTAATATAGTCCTGCCAATCTGCCATTTTTTCACATGTACATTTAATTTTTACCAGTCAGAAATCATGTCACAGTTGGTCTGAGATATTCATGTTTCACTTGGTCTGCTTAGAGCACATGGTCACAAATTCAGGACAAAAAATGTTTTATTAAATTTGTCGTGGTTATACAAAGAGGTTATCGTATTAGATATTCTAGTCAAATGAAAATTATTTATTAAATTGAATTGAAATAGCCTATTAATTTTAAGAGCAATGATTATCTGTGATATTATTATTTTTGTGTTCTATGTAAAGGTCAAATTCTATCATCGTCAGTATACTATTTATAACGTTTTGTATTTCATGTATGCAAATAATTTTTGAGCGGTATCACATTTTTAATAGTGAGAGTTTGATTGTGTAAAGTAAATGGGGGAAACAAAGTACTCGGTCGAAGGCTAGGGTTGATAAAGGGTCATGAGGATAGACTCCCATTAAATTCATAAAGTGTCCATACTAAATAAAATTATCAAGTAATCGACTCAGTAGTCGATTGGCCCCGTTGCATTAATCGACAATGGAGTGATGTAGATCACATAGCTACATAATGTTCCCTGTTGTATTAAATTGTAAACTGGCCAGTTGATAAACACGAACATCCTTGGGGAGTCTGGTGACCTAAAATAAATACATAAAATCATCAAGGCTAGGTTTCCCGAGGCTTTGTATTTTAAATGAAAAAACCGCCAAATTGAACTTGTAATTGACAATCAACTCTCTCACTCTCTCTTTCTCAAAATAGTAGGCTATTAATTACAACAAAAGGTTATTACATTATTTATATTTAATATTTGTATCACAGCTCGTAATTCTGATTCATTATACATTATTTTTACAAATCACCATATTTTTATTTGCCTGTGTTTCAGATAGTATTATTAATATCAAACTGGTAATTTTAAGAGGTATTGGCTTAACTGAAAGAAGTATACAAAGTATACACAAAGAATATTGATGATCTCATTTTTATAAATGAATATTTTTGACCAAGCAAGTTTTACAAGTTCATATTACATTTTTAATATCAAGTTGGTGAATTCATGAGTAATCGGCTTAACCAAATCCATTATATATTAATTTCTTGGAGTTTATACTTTGATAAATATTTTCTGAACAAACAGTTTCATAAATATTTTCAATCAATAGTTCAATATATTATCATTTGCAATATTACAGTTTTACAGAGAAATCAATTCATATCACAATCTTTCATCTGAACTGACATTTCAATTCATAGAGTGTTCAAATCTTAGTTGTTAGTTATCTTAGTTAGTGTTAGAGTCTCTATTAGTTATTAAGGAGTGTTAAAATTAAGCTGAGGAAGGTGTGAAGGAGGACAACTAATCAGATCTCTCTCGATCCCCCCTTAATGGACTTCTGGGGTATTTAATTACAAGGGCCCACTTAACATCTTTAATTCCACTGCGTACTGCTCTGTAATTATATGTCCTCATGAGTTCAATCAAATATAAATTAAATTCATTAAAACCCCACCAGGGGGCAACTTTTTGGTTTATTCACACCTTTATGGAATATCTAAATTATATTACATAGAGGTGTGAGTAGATTTTGTATTTGATGAAATGAAGTAACTAGTAAAGAACATTTACAATTTCTTTTTTTTCTTTTTAGCGAATTTCCCATATAGGGAATAAGCTATTACCGTAGTACTCATGGTAAGACCTGGACCCGGGACCGATTTATTTTTTCGTTTTGAGGTCCCTAGAGACCAAAAACACCATCCGTTCAAATTCATATATATATATATTATATATATATGATATATATATAATATATATATATATATGTGTCCGTTAGCACAATAACTCGAGCAAAAATGATCCGATTTTGATTAAATTTGGTACAAACGTGTAAACCTACATTTATTCGAACAAGTTCGCGAACCAATTTTACAATTTATTTTCACACCATTTTGTAGAGCATAAAAAACAAATAATTTAGTATATTGAAGCGTTATTGTGCGCCTAATGGTTACGGAGAAAATTCCAAAAACAGTAAATTTAAAATCCCTGTGTTATTCTTATGGAGAATAAGTCAACTGTTGTACTTTGCTTGTTTATGAACATAATTTGATCGAATTTGGAAAATACATTAATTTTTTACTAAACTATTAACATAAAAAACCACCTTTTTACCCTCCCTGTTGCAGCAAACCTAAGTACTCGTTAAACAAATTCTATTTAAATAGGGAATAAATATTATATTTTTAAGGAGGCATTTTAGTGTAAATCCTATCAGGCTAATGGAAATTCGCTTAGTCTGCAGGTTTGCTGCGGCGGGGTATTTTTTCTTTACAATAGCATAAAAATAGAAGCGGTCCTAGGATAGATCCCTGGGGTACTCCGTACTTGATACATCGTATTGTTGAATTATGAAATTGTATAACATTTTTTGTACTAAGCCCTTTTGTGACAGTATATTGTTTCCTATCATTAAGATATGATTTAAACCATTCTATCTGGCGATTTTTTATTCCTAAGGATTGTAATGTTCTTATTAATTCTGAATGATTTACACTATCAAAAGCGCGAGTAAGATCTAGAAAGATCCCCAAAGTTTTATTTTTTTATCTATACTTTCAATTATTGATGTCACAAAATCTACACTAGCGGTTGTCGTTGACCTTCCAGCCCTAAACCCATGCTGATCTTCATCAAATAATTAATTTTTCTCTAAAAAATCTGCTAATTGATCGTACACAACTTTTCAAAAATTTTAGAAAAATTTGATAGTAGTGAAACTGGACGATAATTGAGAGGATTGGTTTCCAACCCTTTTTTAAAAATTGGAATAACTTGCTATTTTTAATTTGTTGGGAAATATACCGCAGATTAAAGAAGAATTTACTAGATGTGTTAACGGTTTTGAAATTTCATGTTTGATTGATTTTAACAAAGACTTTGGGACCTCATCAAATCCTGATTGGCCTACTTGAAATTATTTTAATTATTTCATCTTCAGTCACTGTCCTAAACTTGAAAGTACTGTCAGAAAAAGAAGTAGGAGTTGAATACATCGTGTTTTGGGATAAATGTGGAATAACTTGACTGTCAACAGCATTAATAAAAATGTCATTAAAAATATTAGATACTTCCAATGGTTCTCTAACCAGTTTCCCTGATTTATTTGTTAGTTCAATTTTTGGGACATGAGCTATAGCCAAGGCCGCACTAGATATACAGGCCGTACTGCACCCCCACCACTTCAGGCGCTACGTCACAACTGTAGGCGGTCGATACTCCGCCACGCGGCGTCGTAGTGCTAGACAACACGTGGTCTTTTGGAATGTCATTGGTTTCAGTGCGTCGCCATACTCGTTTGTTATACTGAATGTCATTGTCACTAACCAATGCTTTTGTGGTGTTCGCTTCATGAGTTGTGTAATTGAAAAGTTATGTTTTGCTTCCTGGTAAATAAAGCCTTACAAGTTTTGTGTCCCTGGCTGTAAAAGTAACTATGACCCAGGACAACGTGTAACTGTTTTTTTCATTCCCAAGAGATACAACAAGAGCTGAAACATGGCTTAGAGCTATTCATAGGTGCGACTATCAAATAAATAAATCGTCCAGAGTGTGTATCAAGCATTTTGATGATAGATACGAATTGCGTGAGGATAAAGTGACGCGACCGGACGGTACTGTTTTGACTGTCAAACGGGACCAGTTAAAGTTATCTAGCGATGCTTTACCTACGATATTTGAAAATTTGCCTTGTTACCTGTCGAAAGTACTTCCTCAAGAAAGAAAGGATCCCAATCAGAGACAGAG